ATGTTGCTAAATTTCTTTTTATTGCATTTGCAAAGCGCAAGCTCCTCCTTAATACTCTTTATGATGTCTCCTCTCTGTAATGTTTTGGTAACCTGGGTTTGCTTTTTTGATCCTGTATGCTGTTTGATGGGTCTTTGACCGTAATAAATAATGATGATGGTTCCTTCTGTCATCTGTCTATCCATCCATCCATCCAGGGGTCATTTCATAGAAAAAGAGGTGCAGGAGCTCATTAGCATGACTTATTAGCATGACTTATTTGCATATGCCACACACCCTGACATCACCGGAAGTATGTCAGAAGGCAACACCCACCACTCAGGCTCCACTGGACTGTTTTGGATTGCTAGATATTGGGGGGGGTGGGAGAGTTTGTACCTGAATAAAACGTGGTCTTAAAGGTGCCACTGGACTGTTTTGGATTGCTAGCTATGGGGGAGGGAACACAGAGATCTGCCCTCACAGAGGAGGGAGAGCTTATACCTGAAGGTGGGCCGGGGGGGGGGCTTTGCAACTTACCTGACTGCTTCTTGCTCCTCGTGGCCTAACTGAGGGCTGCTGGGAGCAGGGGGCAGGGCTTGTTGCATGTGCTCACCCCCTGGGCTCCTTACTGCTGGAGCTCCGCAGGAAATGACCCCTGTATCTATCTGTCTGTCTGTCTATCTATCAAGGCAGAGAGCCCCTGGTGTTTTATTTATGTGTTTGTTTAGTACACTTTTATCCTGCCCTTCCTCCAATGGATGTAGAGTGGTGCACATTTTTCTCCCCTTCTCCATTTTATGCTGACAAGCTGTCACCATCCATATCCCAATTCTCTTCATTTTTGAATCAAGATTGGTTCTCAGAGGGACAAATTGTGCCCTCTTCGAGTTATGGACTCTAATATTGCTCGACTAACTGATATGTCTACTAAACATGGTATCCTCGATAAAATTGTCATTCTTGGATATTGCGTTAGTTGTATATGTTTGAGTAGTTGTAAGACTGTCTAATGTATACTTTGTTACACTGTTTATAGTTTCTGTTATTGCTTTACGTTGTATGTGAAAATTAAATAATAAAAAACAGTACATCTATTTGCCTGTCTAATGAATTGGTATTCATAGCGGTTATTCAGTTTTTCTAATTGAATCATAATTGAATACTACATGCTAAACTGTAAAATAAAACTGTCACACTGATATTCCATGAAGTTAAATCTACAGTCTTATCTACTGGCAGGGTTTGGTGTAGGGTGGGATACCAAGGAAGGAGTATGTTTTGCCCTGGTTACCTCTGTACAGCTTCCTTCGCCTAAACAATTGGG